GTGTGCAGTGTGGAGGACGTCCTGTGACAGGCCCCTGTGATGTGTGCAGTGTGGAGAACGTCCTGTGACAGGGCACCTGTGACATGTGCAGTGTGGAGGACGTCCTGTGACAGGCCCCTGTGACGTGTGCAGTGTGGGGAACGTCCTGTGACAGGGCACCTGTGACATGTGCAGTGTGGAGGACGTCCTGTCACAGGCCCCTGTGATGTGTGCAGTGTGGGGGGTGTGCTCTGTTGGCAGGGTCCTTTATGCCAGGACAGAGATGTTCTGCTCCTTTGCGGTATCCCAGTTGGACCATTCTGCTTACTTTCTCCATGCAGAGGGAGGCAGGGTGGGGAGAGCCTGGAGGGACCTGGTGCCCGCCTGTCACTTACAGACTCGACTCTCCCTGCCCACACATGTCCCAGTCCACACTGCTGCACTGCACTTGGTGCACACGCCCTCACTGTCAGCACGTGACTCTGTGTGATCCTCTGTGCCTTGCTTCTGAGAAAGCCCTGACTCAGTTTCCCCATGCACCCCATATCCCTTGGGTGGGCAGTGAGCTGTTTTGGACGCTTCCATCCATCATCCCGTGGAAGGAGGGATTTCCTTTCCCTTCCATTTCCATGCAGCCTTTGACTCTTCTGCCCTAGGCCCAGGCTGCCAGGACATAGTTGTAGCCAGATGGGCTGTGAGACAGGTGACCTGGGCTTCCCTGTCTAGGCTCCCATGATTACTGACCTGTTGGTGACTCAGACATGTCTCTTCCCTTCTCTGGGACTCAGCTTTTTCCTCTGTAAAGGGAGACAGTGCTTTAGGTGAGTGCTGACAGTCTGGTCCTGTGTGCCTGTGTGTCTCCTCCTGGGTATCTAGGCAGGAGCAGAGGACTTGTGTGGTATGGGGTACTTCTCCTGACAATGGGGGTCCTGCAGGAGGCTTGGAGGTCAGGACCCAGCTGGAGGGACCTCAAAGGACCCTGCTCCGGCCATCGTGTCTTATCCAGCTAAACTCACTTCCTGCAGCTCGGGGCATCAGGGTCTTACCACTGCAGGGGCATCCTGAGACCTATGATACCCAGGTCCCCTTGGGAGAAACCCTTACACCAAGGGGCACATCCTTGTGAATATGGCTGAGAATTGATAGTTTTTATAAAGACTATGGCAAAGCAGGCTGACACACGGAAGAGTTCATCCCTGCCTGCCTGTGTGCCCTACCCCAGGCCTGGGGCTCTCAAGTGGCTCAGGAAAGGCGAGGCTGTGGTGTGGGTGTGGGAGCTGTCATCTCTGTTCAGCTCAGGGTGACACTGAGAAATACTGGATTTACTGAGCATGCCTGTGGTCCTCTGGCCTGGCAGAGCCCACTCTTCTGGGTCTGTCTTCCAGCCTCCCATACCCACCTGAGGTGCCACCAGCAGATGACTAGCCCTTTGTCCCAGCTCCTCTGGGCACTGTTCTCTTCTGGTAACCCCTTGTTGAGCAGATAAATTAATGGGTCCTATTTGTGACCTGCCTGCTTGGATACCACCTTCCCAGAGGCCTTAATCCCAGTGGTTGGGTCTTCACGGTGTCCCCCAAAGGTGTGGAGGGCTGGGGTGGGGCTGTTGGCAGGAGAGGTTTGCCCAGAGTGTGCAGGTCTTAGGGTGCTCTGCTGGCTTTGTCTGTGGGCATCATAGTGTCCTTGTCACGGCTGCCAGGTGGCAGGAGGGGAGCCCCGTGGCAGGTAGGTGTCTCCCCCCAGCTCTGGCTCACCCTGTCCCGTCTCCACAGTGGGCTACGGCTCTTGGTTCGAGCATGTGCAGGAGTTCTGGGAGCATCGCATGGACTCGAATGTGCTTTTCCTCAAGTATGAAGACATGCACCGGGTGAGTGTGGTGCCCCCAGCTGAGCTCAGGCAGCCACTGCACCTGCTGCCTCCAGGGCAGAGCCGCTCGGGTCATCCTCGTCCCTCTTCCACGCCCTGTGTCTATTTTCCAAGCCTTTTGGTTCTACCTTCACATGGTGTCCCTCACTTGACCGCTGCTTCTTAGTTCTATCCACCTCCCTGGCTCAAGCCAGCATCATCTCCAGCCTATAAATTCCTAAGCGGCGGGTGGCGCCTATAGCTCAAAGGAGTAGGGTGCCAGCCCCATATGCCAGAGGTGGCGGGTTCAAACTCAGCCCTGGCCAAAAAAAAAAAAAAATTCCTAAGCGGCCGGCCCCCTGCTTCTTGCTAAAGCTGTAGTCAGCTCATGTCTCTCCTCTGTCCCTGTGTCACTCTGGGTAATGTCAGACCCTGAGAATGGCCCCAGTGTCCACTAGCCAGTCAGAGTCCAGCTGATGGGGTGGCAGGAGGGGAAGAGAGCCAGGAGGGCTTGCTGCCTGCACGCTGCTGTTTAAAACTTAACACAGCTGTTAAGACCTGGTCTGCTTCCCAGTCCTGGAGTTGCTGAGTTTGAAATTCAGACCTGCCACTTGACGGTTGAGTGCCCTTGGGCACTTCTAACTTCTCAGGGTGGTTTCCAGACAGGGCAAGAGTCCACCGTTCTGATCAGTCAGGAGGGCAGGCCCCATACATACCAGTCTGCAGTCACGGCTCTGATGGGCTACTCTGCTCTCTGCCCATGTCTTCCAGGATCTGGTGACAATGGTGGAGCAGCTGGCCCGATTCCTGGGGGTGTCCTGTGACAAGGCCCAGCTGGAGTCCCTGATTGAACACTGCCACCAGCTGGTAGACCAGTGCTGCAACGCCGAGGCCCTGCCTGTGGGCCGAGGTACACGTCCCTCCCTTCCTCCTGCCCAGGCAGTAGCACTCAGGGCACCAGACTGTTAGCTCTCCCCGCTTTCTGGATGTTCCCTCCCTTTCCCAGCAGCCCTTAATGGCCTGTGTCCTATGCTTTGCCAGGGGCCAGACAGTCCTTGGGAAGCTGGTGCCCACTAGTGGCCTGGTGCTTGGGGAGAGAAGGTGTCGCATTGTTACCAAGCAGACAGTGTTTTAATCCAAAGGCGCGGCTGCTGGGCATGTTCTGGGTTTTGTGGGCAGGATGCTCTTAAGCAAGGGCCTTCCCAAGTGACCTGAAATCAAACACCTGCAGAGCAGATCCAGGGGATGGGTTTGGTGCTGTGAAATTTCAAAGTCAAGGCATGTGGGTAGATTTCTTCTCTTTTAACTGGCTCGTGGGTGAGTGAAATGATGCAGAGTTAGATAGTTCCCATGTGAGGAGATGTCTTTTTTTTTCTTCACTCAGTAGCTGTTGACTGGATGTCTCTGGGTGCAGGTGGCACAGACTAGGCACAGCCCTATCTCAGGGCAGGTTAGGATGAGTGGACAGGGCCAGGCCAGTGGCATGGGGGAGGTTGGCACTTGCTCCTGGTGGCAAGTGACAGTTATTAGGAGTGAAGCAGTTGGTGGCAAAAATAGTCCAGGCAGGAATCCTCCCCAGATCCATTGGGTTTCTCCCCTCCTTACGGGCACAGTGCCACCTGATACTGATTGATGGTGGAGGGCTCAGGCTCTAACATGCCCTAAATCCCAGGGTGGTGGCTAAAAGGCCTAAAAGGCCTTTCTGGGTAAGTAGGAATCACATTGACACTTGGTGTACTGGGAACTTACTTGGGTGATGAAAGTGTTGAGGGGAGGGCTCGGCCACAGTCACAGGTTTTCAGCATGTGGAAGCACCCAGAGTGGCTGAAGAAGAGTTGGGCTCCACTCTGAGCTCTGCTGGGGCTCAGGTCAGGCCTTGAGCCTCTGCAGCCTCTCTAAAGGGGGCAATCAGGGTCAAGTGCAAGGTGTCTTCCTTATGAGGGCAGAGCAGTTGACACCTGTAGGAAGAAGTTAACCGAACCAAAATATCTTGTGGTTAATTTCCTGACTGTATGTTCACAAATGTTATTTAAAATTTATTTGCACTTTTTAGTTTTGCTTTGCTGTGCTTTGTTATCCCTGGATGTGACCTTCCCTGAAACACCCCTTTTGGTTCATGTGTGCCCCCGTGTGCTCCTCCTGTGTGTGCTTTCTCATTGTTTACTTTGGTTTTGCTTTATTTCAGTTCTTTGATTTGTTTTCTTTTAGCACATTGCCTCTTTGCTCAGAAGATGTCCTTGAGTTGGTGCGAATGCAGGGCCGGGTAGCCAGCTGCATTGCTTAGATTTGGTTCATATCACAGCATAAATTGTCTTGAGTCCAAATCCTAAACCAGGTGGGTGACTCCTTTGATCAGCTCACGCCTGAGAAAAATAATCATGGAAAAATAGTTTGGTTGGTCTAGAAGCTTCTAATTTTGTCCCTTAGGTATAATTAGAGGGTAGCAAGAACAAATTTTCATGTTTCCTTCCCTCTCCATCACTGTTAATGTTTCGTTACCAAAGAGAAAATCCTTGTCATGTTGGACACTTGAGCTTAGCATTTGCAGGGCTGTAGTTTCACACGGTGCAGTCCTGCCAGGACAAGAGACGACTGTTAACAGAGCCAGTGAAGGATATTTGCTGGAGACTGGCTGATCTCTGGTCTCAGAGATGCTGACGGTGGAAAGAATTCTAAACGAGGACCCCCGGGATGTGCTCACAGCTCCCAGAAACCCTACTCCTGACATCTTCAGGATCAACATTCCATTGGGCCCGACCAGCCTAAGATTTTGTAGTTAACAGGGAAAATGGGATCAGCGGCTTCTCTTGTCCTTTTCAGCTCTCTCGTTTTTCCTAAGCCTTCAGAAAGCAGCTCAGGAGACCAGTGCCTGCACGCTGGTCTTCTTTGGCTCAGCACTGCCAGGGAGCAGGCCTGTGAGGGAGCAGCTCGGGCACTCCCGAGACTGACGTGAGTGTTGAGGCAGGAAATTCCTGCTGCAGTGCACACTTCACATCTGGTCTCTATAGGCAGCTTGTGCTGCAGCTATTTTACTCACAGTAAATCCCTCCCCAAGGTTGACAAGGGCAGGCTGCTCAAAGTCTACCCTGGACCCAGCAAGAGGGCTTCCTACTTGCCATAAAGCTTTCTGCCCTTTGGATGATTTTTCTTCCTTCTCGAATTCTCCAGAAACAAATGACGCCTTGGTGGAGCTGTTGAGCCGTGAGTGAGTGATGGTGTCATGGGGACCAGCGCTCCACGGGGTGCCTGGGCAGTGCATCCGCGGCAGACATTGCTCGTTCTCTGGGATGTTAATTAAACACCCACTGTGTGCCAGGTGCTGTTCTAGGTGCTGGGGCTCCAACAGTGAACAAGAGGTAAAGTCCCCCAGTGGCCTCAGGTGTGGGTTCGCGTGTGCAGGCTCACCGAATGCATAGTGGCACCAGGAAGTGGCTGTGCCTGCCGCACTACCAGGCTCCGAGGGCAGCTGGTGCTGCCACATCCAGTATTGTCAAAACCATTATGGGACCCACCTGGTCTATAGCTCAGATGTCCCTTCCTGTCCTCATAGGCCAAGTTTAGAGGAGTCCAGAAATAGATCTGGAACCTTCCAGATCCATTTCCAAGGCTTCCTTTGGTTCAGTACTTGCCTGACAGCAAGCAAATACAGCAAATTCTGTTCTTGTGTTTCAGGAAGAGTCGGGCTGTGGAAGGACATCTTCACCGTCTCTATGAACGAGAAGTTTGACTTAGTGTATAAACAGAAGATGGGAAAGTGTGACCTCACGTTTGACTTTTATTTGTAATAACAGAAACAGCAAACCTGCATGCTCAATACCCAGGCGTTCTACTAGCCCGAGTCCCGTATGCATTCCTTTAGTAATTGCCGGACGGACGGACGAGCTCTGGAAGCAACATGCGAAACAAGGGGGGAAGGACACGCGGGGAAACTGGAGAAAGTGTGATTGTTTCCGATCCAAAGCAGCTGTCTCGCCTTTAGAATTCAGAGTCTCTACATGTCTGATTACAAACATACAAATCGCAGTTCTGATGGCCTGTATCATAAGTATAAAGTCTGTAACATATGCAATTAGAATGTCTACCTTTTTCAACCCCAATATTATTTATTGTATTTTATAGAGCTTTTAACTGGAATCTAAATAAATGTCAGTAAACCAAATAAAAGTTCATTTCCGAGGGGAATTAAGAGTGAGCCACACCCATATGATAGAAAGATCTCAGGGTTACCTCTTTATTTTTGTAGTTTATTACCTAAGGCGCAGCCATTCCATTCTTACTTGGTTCTGAGGTAATGGTGGGAACAGAGCGTGAGTTGGGGTGTGTGAGGGGACCCTTCCTGAGATAAAGCAGAAGTGTCATCAAATGCTTCTCAGGAGGGACACCTGCTGCACGAGACTTCCAGCAGGCAGCTCTAAAGGCCCAGTACAGAGGACCAGGCAAACATTCCAGCGTTCGTTCTCGTTGAGGGAGAGCTGCCTGGCGAGACCAGCAGGTGGGGTCTGATGCAGGCAGCAGTGTGGGAACGCAGGGAGCGGAGAGGCAGTCACAAGACGGCCGAAATGCACTCGCAAGTTAATTCCGCACTCTTACCTTTGTTCTCTGAAGCAGCAACCTACTTAAACTGGCAAGCAGATGCTGAATAGCAAATTCCCCCAAATCCTGAGTCTTTACATTCAGTTTGTTCTGTCCGAACCCGAGCCTCTCATTTTGTGGGGAGCCAAAGTTCAGCCCCCGTTTCCCTCAGCTCGGCTCAGCACTCCCAACGTTGTCTCTGTCCACTCCCTCTGTCCATATATCTGAGGGAGCAAAGGTCTTTTTGCCTCACCACCTGCTTAACTATCATGGCCCAAACTCCGCTGGAGAAGTGGTGGGGAGATGGCCAGGTGCGACGTGGGGCCCGTGGCCAGCTCGTGTGGATTGCTGCCATGTGGGGTTCAGGGTTCTCCAGTACCCGTGTGGTCAGAAGGGCTGCTCCTGCAGGAGGCGGCTCCTAAGCACGCTGTCCTTGGAGCAGGCGCAGACAGGTGGCACATGGTTCAGCGGCACCTTTCCTGTGTATCTGTGAAGGAGGCTGCTTTCTGTGAAATTTCATTTCTATTTTTCTATTTTTAGTACTGTATGGATATGACTGAGCACTACACACGATACTTCTGTGCTTGCTTGCATCTTTAATAAAGACTCGTTCGTTCCCTGCATCGTGTCGCGCGTGTATGCTGCCGGGTGGAGAGGGGTCCCCTCAGCACCTTGGGACAGTGTGATGTGAACCTTGATGATCTCCTGTTCCCTGAGGGTGACTACAGGGGAAACAGGCCCACGTTAGGGTTTGTTGAGGCAGAATTTGGGGGTTTCACTCAAATTTAGATTTTCCCAGGGTTGAATTCTCTCTCCCCCACTATGTCCCCATTCGCCTCTGATCCCCGTTGGAAAACCTGGGGGTGGTTTTGCTGCACCTGTGGGCCCAGAAGCCTCCGCCTTCTCAGCTGCCCCTGCCAGCAGTCCCCTGCTCAGCCTGGCACACCACATCATGGTGCGGGCAGACTAGCTGGTCGATTGCACTTCCCCGACAGGAATCCCAGTCTGTTTTCCCGATTCCTTGAGGAGGGAAAGTCCAGTTATTGAAGGCCTGAGAAAGCTTGGGCCTTCTGGAAAATCACATTTCTTTTCAAGTGAACCACTTCCTCTAGGCCTCAGCTGAGACCCCAGAGTGTATTTTGGTATCTGGAGTTAACACGGCCCGTCTGCTGGGTTGTGGTTGTTTACCCTCCTGTCCTGAACTCAGGAGACAAAGCAGCTGGTGCAGCCAGAGGTGGAGCAGTGGGGTTGGGTGCTTGTCTACCTGTTTGGCTGTGTCACTGCACTTCATGGAGTCAGTCATTTGGGAGGTCCCTGAGCGCTGGGTGAGTACCAGACACTGTTCTAGGCCCTAAGGCTGCAGCAGAGGGGCAAGGAGAGGCGCTGCCTCTGCAGAGTTCACATCTCAGTGGGGATACAGATGACGGCCAGAGCTTGGTGTAAGTATCAGGAGTTCATGAGGACTCAGGGGACCCGAGGAGACGGACCCACCGGTGGGGGATGTGCTGACGACCCCTGAACTCCCAAAGGTCAGCATTCAAGCTCAGTCCTTCCCCAGGGCTGTGCACTTCTCTGCTCAACTTGGGGCTCCGGAAAGAGTCATTTGGAATGCACTTGTTTTGCCTCTGTCCACCCGGTGACAATCACTTCCTAGAATGGTTTGTCCTGCTCACTTCCTAGAATGGTTATAACAAGCCTCTTTGGGATCATAAATTCATCTTCCCAAGTCTGTCCCAGCACCACCTACTCTGCTGCTAGCCAGTACTCCCTCGTGGTCAAGGTGCAGCTGCCAGCAGGTGGTGGATGGCATGGCCACTGCTGGGTGGGTGTCCTTGATGTCTCCACTACTGCAGAGGGATGCAGCCACATACAGGAGCCACTATGCACAGGCCCCATCCTGGGAGATCCCAGGTCGGACTCAATTTGTATGCACCTCTCTATACCGGAAGTGGTGTGGTTTGTGGGGGAGGAGTCCTCGGGTGCACGCACCACCAGTGTCACACTCCTCTATACCAGAAGTGGTGTGGTTTGTAGGGGAGGAGTCCTCAGGTGCACGCACCACCAGTGTTATCCCAGAGTTTGGAGTCTGGCCCTCCTGTCCACTTGACATCATCCACCCTTCATTGTAGGCTACCCATAGTAACACTGGGATTGCACCTGGGTCAGGTGGTCCAGCCTGACTTAGCCAAGGAACCACCTGGGACACCCCTGACAAGCAGGTCACCTTCCAGAACATCCCCTCAGCTCTGAGCTGCAGCCATTTCTGGGGCTCTTGGCTCCGAGCCTTGGGATGAGGCAATCATCTCCATCATCTGAGATGCCTAGTGCTTCCCCGCCCCCCGGCAGGGGGCATGGCCTGCATGTGGCCCTTGTTCTCCCTAGGGACTCCTGCTTTCCTCTGGTCACCCACCTTACTGTTCTGCAACTATTTTCCCCCACATGATACTCAGAGCAGGGGCTGCGCTGTCAGCTTCCTCCTGTTCCTGGTTGGCCTGTGAAGGCTGTGTCCTCCCAAACTCGACCCAGGCTGGGCTCATGTCTCCTCCCCCGAGGCTCTACTTCCTGCCGCCACCCTCCTTTCCTTATGGATATTTCTGTATAGAAAGAAACATTTGTATAAATGTAATCCAGTGCATGTTCTCCCTTGTCTGGAATGCCCTGCATGATTCCACTGGCTTTCCACATCAGACACAACTGTTCTTGGTGACCTTCCTTTCCCTGCCTTCTGCCTGTGTCCTCAAGCCCAGAACTTAATGCCCACAGAGCTGAGAGCATTCCTTGGGCACCTCTCTCTCTTCCCATGTCTTGTAGCATGTAAGGGCACCTGCTCTGGAAGGCCCTGGGCTGAGTCCTGGGGACAGTCCTGGAGGTTCTCCCCGTGACTCCATTCCCTTGGGCACTGCTGTGATCACCTGGGTCCTTGCCCTTGGTTGGCCATGTAACCCAGACAAGTCACCTGCCCTTTCTCAGCTCTTGTCTCCCTATCTGTCAAATGGTCTTCCAAGGTTTCTTCTGGTTGTTAGTTCCAGCTAAAGGTTAGACAAGCTTTCTTGGCATGTGGTGGCATGCTGCAACAGACAGGCACACACACGGCCAGCTGAGGACAAAACCAGGACTTGAGCGCCCAGATCCTTTTCTTCCCCATCAGACCACTCTCCACGTGGACGTGAGCTACATGGAGACCAGAGCCTGAAGGAATGGAGCCCCGGGTGCAGACTCGCAGCAGGTGACTTCCGGGTCAGCAGGGAAGCTGCTTGATGTAAGGAGAAGGGTGAGAGCTGGGAGGCAGGAGGCAGAGGGCACACGCCTGGTGGGAAAAACAAAATACACCCAAATGAGGACAAGCGACTTCTTGGGAGTCAGCTACCAGTTCCAATTCCAGCTCTGCCACTATTTGTGGGGCTGTGAGGGAGGTCCCTTTCATCTCACGAACAGGTCATAGGCCAAGTGTCTTCGGATGCCACCCAGCTGGAGCACTGTGACTCGCAATGTCCATTGGCTTACCTGCAGAGAGGAGCTGACAAGCAGTGGGAGGCGGTGACTTTCCAGCCCACCATGGGCCACCGGGAGCAAAGGGAAGCTGTCGTGGAAGCACCTGCCTCACGCGCGGGCCCACAGTCTCCCCGGCTCCAGGGCATGTTGAGCTTCTGCCAAATCCACACGTCAAATGACAACTTGATTCTCACACTTGGCTCCCTGAGTGCTGGCTGGCGCTGAGTGTCTGGGCTGCAGTCCTTAAATCTGTCTCCTCGCCACTGCAGAAAGGAGTCTGTGCTCTATTAAAAGTGTTTTTTAAAAACTACAGAATGCTAAATGTGCTTAAAAAATAAAAATCGACCAAAAATATATTTTATCCTCTTTAAAGTTATCATTTTTACATATTCCCATGGTTTTGGGCACCAGCTGGGGACGGAAGTCTGAAGACACGGCGAGCAAGGCTGTCTCCGCAGAAGGAAAGGTGCCGTCCGCGCCAGCAGGAGACTCTCCTCCAGGCTGCGCCTCCTCAAAAACAAGTCCACGGCTAAAACCTTTTCCCTGGTGTTCCTTTTCCTCATTTCGTGTTTTACAATCCACAGCATGTGCAGTTTCCAGAGGGAGAAAGAATCTCTCTCGAACCCAGGGGGAGGCCTGGAGCCCATCTCACTCGGCCGGGTCTCACAAGGGTTTACACCCTCCGTCCTCCTGTAGTGCCAGTGGGTGAGGCCAAAAAGGTTCACACTGGATTTGGACAAACCAAAAATGAACTGAAGAGCCCGAGGTAGCCGTGACACGCCCTTTGTTCAACTCATGGCAACCAGCAAGCAGGCACAGGGACATCTGCTTTCACGCGGGTCATAGAGGCACATGAGCCAGCATAGGGCGCCTCCTCCCACACCAGCGGAAGGCCGTGGGTCTCACATAGTAGCCAGACCAACAGTGGTTCCAAATGAAACACTAATGATGATTGCTTAGGAACACACGGCACCTGCCAGCTTAATCACAGTTATTCAAAACAATAGGGCACCTCATGGCCTCCAGGTGAGAAAGCCTAATTTAACTCATCTTCCTCACACCCCCTCATGCGGGTCCCTCTGCGGGATTGCCTTTTCCTGGCTTGGCTCGCCTGATGCTAATGGAGGCTTTCAGCAGGGTCCAGGCGTGGTCTACTCTGAGAAGCAGCCGGGGCTGGGAGCTGCACCTCCCTCATGATACCCAGGACACAGCACCATCTGCCCAGAAAGCTGCCTGAGGCCAAGGCC